AATCAGAGCTACGAGTATGTATATCACAACAGAATAAATAAGTATTTAATATGAAAACAGAAATATTGCTAATTTTTGTAATTTTTTTAGCAACTTCAGATATAAGGCTATAGTTATGTTATTTGGTAACCAAAACAGTGACCAGTTTTTTCCGTATGTGATTACTTCCAAATTCTAAAAGAAATCTTGAATTTTAATTATTATCATTGGCAAATTAATATAACACAAAATCATTGCAATTATCTTTTGATAACGCAAGAAATACATATACGTATAACAGTTTAAAAATTCATATACAATTAAAATATACATAAAATTTATTATTTCTTAAATTGCTTAATAGAGCAGTACAATAATGGTTATGGTATGAACAATAGTTTCAAAACAAATTTATTAAGTGTGCAACAAACAAGTGATTGTGTGACATTTTGTAATATAATAATTAGATTGGTGTTGGAATACATATTTTTGTAATATTTCATATTAATTAGCGATATTATTTACGTGTATGTATATATATATATACAAAATAATAAAAATATATAATAACCTAGTTCGTTTAAACGCTATGAAATACAAGTCAATTAGATTCATTATTATTATAATTTTTTTCTTATTTCTATTTATTATCTATGTTAAATTACTTGAACGCGATAATTGTTTTGAATTTTATTTTTTTCTTTATAACGTTGTATGCATGCTTCATTCATTATCTATACGATCTTAACCTAAAAAGACCATTTCTTAAAATATACAAGAAGCGTTCACTTAATACGTGAAATCGAACTTATTTTTATTTTACTATATAAAATTAAACAAGTAGTTGAATTGAAGAATGTGAAGTTTTTCTGATTTCTATTCTATAGGAATTCATTTATACGGTTATAATGAAGCGTAAAGAATTTCCTAGGGTTTTTGTAATTGTAATTATAATTGGTAAATGAAAATTCTTTGTTTTAAATTAAGTTCAGCGTAATTTTTTATATATTGATGCAAAATAATTTAGAAAACATTTTTGAGCTCGATCTGATATTATTTTACTTACAGTGAAAAAGATCAGCCGGTTCATAAAACTTCGGATTCAAGTTAATTGTAGTTATAAATAAGTGTGGGGCGTATTAACATTAATAATGGTAAATGTTTGTAAAAATATTATAAAAAATTTCATGATATGTTTTTGTAATCCGAAACATATTTTGTCGAATTTAAATTTATTAAAATTTGGAAAATATATACAGAAATTTTAAGGGAAGAGGGAGGGAGCGGAGAGGCAGAGGGAGGAGGGTTTGTGCAGATATGCTCGTTTTGAGCTACAGCCTGTTGCAAAAAAAATATGTACCAGATTTTTCCTACATATAAATAATGCTTATAACTTCCGAACCATATCACTTAGAGTAACCATCATGGATTTATTTTACAGGCGATTGATTGCTCATAAAAATTAATTAAATAATTTGCAAAACATATCGACAAAATTCTTAGAAATTCATAATACTTTTTCTATTAAAATTTTACTAAAAATTATTTTAGACTTTTAAAGAATAAGCCTAATATGCAAAAAAAAAAAACAAAAAAAAAATAAGGCTTACCTTTCAAAGAAAATAATCTTTATTTTTAAATTTACACAATTATCAAAAAAAATATTAAAAGTAAAAAGAACTAAATTTCACGCACTTTTAATTGGTTAATTTTTTTTTTTTTTTGGGCAATCGCTTATCTAATAATTTGTTCTTACTAAGAATAAGTAAGTAGGGAATATACTCGTAACAGTGGACTATTCAATTTATTTAATATTATATATTTTATCATAGCGTATTCATTAATTAGTAGTCGTTTTTCAAATACTCGAAGTCTTTTTATTTATTTTAGGTTGACGTGTTTAAAATTTGCCTTGGGATTTACAAATTTTTTGCATGAATTCTCGCCTATATCAAAAAATTTATAATTGAAACGCTTGTATTTTGCCTTTGGTAATAATTTAATTTAAGAACATTACTTAAATGTAAAACAAATATAACATTGTTTTAAGCATTTTATAAGTGTACTTGTGAAAATTTAATTAAACCTGAGTGGTAACTCTTGTCTATTCTATAATATTAAATATAATTTAAATACCCAAAAATATTAAAAAAAATTGTTCTTGTCCAAAAAAAATTTTCTTTTTGAAAAATCAAAATTAAAATCATTGTAATTAGAAAAAAAAATGTCAGAATTCTTTACAAAATTTTTGTATTGTACATGGGAAGGCGCCTCATTCAAATCAAATTTGAATTGCTTGAGGATCACCCATTTTATAATGAGGCGACAAATTTTTGTTTTTGTTTTCCTTTTTCATTCATCATTAAAAATAATAATACCATAATAAGAAAAAAATATTTTTCAAATGAAAATTATATAAAAAAAAAAATAAAAAATTGAAGGTTAAATTCCAGAATTTAATTAAAAAAATTTTTTTTAAAGTGAAATAGAATAAAATGAGTAAAAGAGAGATGAAAAGATGAACAAAAAAAAATTAAGGAAAATGAAAAAATTTTTATATGTACAAACTACAATGGAAAATAATTTAAAAAAGTTACACGATGATAATTTTTTATGCAAATTTTCCACATTTCGCTTTCCCTTTTAGACCAACGAGTAGGACCAACTTTAAAAGAAACAAAAAAATGTTAAAATAAAATCAAAATTATAAAGAAGTTTTCCTTTTATACATAAATGATTTTTTGTTCCACTTTGCATGTGTTTGTGTACTAATATCATCGGTAGATCAAAAGAGTCATAAAAGAAATTCATGAAAAATTAAACAAATAGTAAAAGTACTTACTTTAATTATTATTTTCATTGTATATGTATGTAGCTAGTATGAATTGTGTTAGATTTATAATGAGAAAAATTTGCCAAAAAAATAATTTGTTTTGAATCAAAAAATTATTTTTTTATTTTATTTTCGGCAAATACGAGTACACTACGTGTATTTAGTTTAAAGAACAATGGACTTTATAAAAATAAATTGTACTAAAAGGTAGCTGGTGTTCTAAGGTCTGGATTTATTTGCTGAATAAAGTTGGTATGCAACTGTTTTTTAATCATTTTCGATAATTTTTGAAATTTTTTACAATTTTACAATTTTTGTTTAGAAAAAAGTTAAGATTTAACAGTGCTATAGGACCCACGAAAATAAATTCTAAATTTTAAAATGTAAAAATTATTTTACATTTTGAATAACTAGTACTGATACCAAATATATTTTCATTATTCTTTCGAGGTTCTTTCAGAATGATGCAAGTTAAGTATTTCTCCGCAAGTTTTCTATAATTTCAATTATTTTACTAAGTCTGCATACTTTGAATTTCTGAGTTTTTTCTGGCCTATTTCACTCATGGGAGTTGTATAGGGCTGCTGCGTGATATCATAGATAACCATACATTATGGGCGAGGTTTTTTTCAGTGTTGCGGAACTCGCGTCCGACTCCCTGAGGGATATCTATGGGGATATGCTTGGAACCGGAGTAGTGTAACTAAAATGTGGAAGGGCTAAGAAGCCATGGCTGGCTGTGGTGGTCGGAGGGGTAAAATTCCTTTAACCATATCTCTCTTCCCGTGAGAATTTTTCAATTTAAAAAAAAAAGGAAAAGGCGAAGTAATCCCGTGAACTTTTGTTACCTGGGACCGGAAAAAACAATGTGCCGCATTACCATATTTGAAAGTGAATTTTAAATTTAACATTATAACAAATTTGTACTAATTTATTGAACTTTAAATATTGAAATATTTTTGCATTTTTACTACAATGAAACTATTAATATTACTTCAAAAAAGACGTCAGTCCAAAATTTGTTCGAAAAGTTTTTACAAAATCATAAGTATATTATGTCGCATAAAAGTATTATTAAAAATAATACCATATGTCATATAGTTTGTATTTGAAATATAATAAAAACCATGTGATTTAAATATTCAAAATTAACTTTTTTTCAATTTGGAAAATTATTAAAATTAACTGACATTGTACTTCAAATAAATTTATTAATAATACGATTTATATGTAATTTATGTACATATATTTTTGTTCTAATTATAATATTATTCAGATTTATAATTAAAAATAAATATAGTTTAATTCAGAACATTTATATTATATTTATGTGGTTTGTGGCCGCTGATAATAGTTACTACACATATGTACATATTGTATTAGGTGATTAAATTACATAAAAACAATATTTTAGCAGCCACACATAATATCAAATGGAACCATATATGGTAATGCGTTATATGTATATGAAATTTAATAAAAATTAAGTATTAAAAATAAATTTACATATTTTCAATAAAAAAAAAAATTGCAAAATCTAAAAAACAAGAGATACTTGAAACAAAAAAAAAAATTTTTTTTTGTAAAAAATTGGCGGTTTTTTCTACAACGTTAAAGCAAAATAAATTAAACTGTTTTTAATAAAATTATTCATTGTGTTAAAATTAGTTTTTTGGTTTCATTTTATTTTTTTTGAAAAATTACAGCAATTTAACCTATAAAAACCCATCATTATTAAAATTATAGAATTTTACAATACGGAAATTTGCCATTATCATTGACATTTACATTAGCATTTTTAATTTTCATAAATTTACAGGATATAAAAAATAATTGAATGATAATAATAATGAAAAAAAAATTAAATGTATTGTAGGTCAATTAATAAAGATTTTAATTTTTTTCTTTTCTATTTATGCATGTTAAAATTGCAATGTTGATGACACAAATGTGGGTTTTATAATTTAATTTGCTATAGTTTTTGGAAACACAATCCTTTCGGTGATAGCATCATTAAATGCGTTCTTATATACGGGATACATGTTAAATTGTTCAGCGCAATACCGAAAATATATTTTATTTGGAATATGTGCCAATGCTATTTATTACGTTTATGGGCAAGTATTTTATGATTAAAGCTGAAAAATAATTCGAAAATTAAAAAGTTGAAATGATATGACAATTATAGTGACAGTGAAAATGAAAGTGGCAGTGATAGTGATAGTGATAGTGACAATGACATTAACATTGACAATGACAGTGACAGTGACAATGACAGTGACAGTGATAGCAACAGTGACAGTGATAGTGACAGTGACAGTGAAAGCAATAGTGACAGTGACAGTGATAGTGACAATGACAGTGAAAGTGACTGTGAAAGTGACAGTGGCAGTGACAGCAACAGTGACAGTGACAGTGAAAGCAATAGTGACAGTGACAGTAACGGTGACAGTGAAAGTGACACTGACAGTGAAAGTAGCAGTGACAATAACATCAAAATTTTTCTATAACTATTGAAGTTTTTTCAATAACTGAATGAAATGTAAACCAAAAATTTACTTGGAACATTATTATATTTCTTCAAATTCCTACAGACAATTGAAATAAACAAATCTGGCAACAATTCTTCGCCTGTTCACTGTTCAAAATTCACCACGAAATTATTCTTTTATTTATATAACTTAATCTAATAAAATTAATAACAAATCATGTACATAAAATAAAAAAAAGTTTGCAATTAAATATAAAAATATTGTAACGTTTCAAAACATTTATCAAAAAAAAAAGCACATCGTCCTTCGTAATTTAACATCAATAATTACAAGCGTATATGCTTATACAATAAAAAAAAAAACTATAATAAATTTGTATGCATAAATATACAAATTACGTCTTTTAATTACATTACCTAAAGAAATTAATTTTTTTTCTCTTTTGTTTTTCTCTTTCTGCCTCAATCAAAATATACAAGTATATAACAATTAAGAATAAAATTCAATTTTTTTTTATTCTTCGTTTTGTTCTTCGTTTGAGTCCGTATGTTCTGTTACGTACTCGTACGTACGTACAAAACTTTTGTAAATTGATTTAAGGATCTTGGCAACCAGAATTATTCAATACTTAACAATACAAATAAAAAAAATTCAAATCACAAAAAGAAAATGAATAAAATGTGTTCCTATTCTAAATGATTTAATGATTTTATTATGACATCAATCTACACAAAATTGAATTTTGACAAGAGTTTTAACATTTCTATAATATAATGTTAGTATAGAAATAAGACAAGAGAATATAACAACTTACAACTAAACATGTGCAATAAATTTATAACATATAGTTAGGAGAAATTTTCTGAAGGCAAGAAACAAAATGGTATGTAAGAAATATGTATGTATGTTAAAATGGCAAATGTAAATTTATTTATTTATTAATTTATTACATAATAGTTGAGTTGTAAAGGAAAATATTAAAAAAAAGGATGATTTATAAATCACATATAATTGATTGTACTGCTCATATATAACTTGGTTAAATGCTTGCCTATAAAATAAAAATAAGAGTAATTAACTTTAAACATTTACATATACATATATGAAAAATTGATTGAAAATTGATTGTAAAATGAGTATCAGTCATATAATATTGTTGAAAATGACATAAATGAGATTATTGAAGGACGTTGATATGGCAAATTGTTAAAAGGAAAACTTGATGGACGGCTCTCTTATATTAAACAATAATTCAAATAATTTGCAGTTTGTTTAAAACAAAAACAATTTTAATTCTACGTTTAACATTAAAATCGTTTCACAAAAGTACAATATTAAATTTATAAGTGCAGGTTGTGTGTTCCTCTTTTCCTGCGGTTTTAAATTCTATGTTACTATTAAATATAACTTGTTAATATAAAAGTATAAATAAAATTTGAGTAGCAAACTTCGACTCACAGATTCTTATGAATTATTTGGATTACTCTATATTATAGTTATAAAACTCTATCAAATTTCTATAAAGAAAGTTCCTAAGAATTGAAGTATTCATTGAGATTTTGCGTCAATTGAAAGTACAGAGAAACTATTTTTACCGATAGACGTTTTCCTATTCTTCACGTTTAAATGAATTCTACTATATTATGTAACAAGGTACGAATCGTTTAAAAAAATGAATAAAGTTGGGTCAAACTAATGGTTTTGTATGTAGCACTTTTCTCTTTAACAAGTGAAAATTCTGCTTTTAAAAACAATGTATGTATACCTACCACACTATTAAAATTATTTTTTTTCATATACGAAACTATTTCTAGGATTGCATATATTTAGGATGAACGATTTATGCAGTTTTTGAAATAAAGTAAAAATAAATGTAAAGAGGGGTTAACAAGAGCTTGCAGTTTCGCAAATATAAGGTGTACTTTAAGTAACGGTTAATTTCAGCGGCCATTTTGTTTTTCAAAGGTCTGAACCTTATCTGAATAGGATATGCCGTAATATCATATCAGGGGTCAACAAGAGCTTGCAATTTCGCAAATATAAGGTGTACTTTAAGTAACGGTTAATTTCAGCGGCCATTTTGTTTTTCAAAAGTCTGAACCTTATCTGAATAATGCCGTAATATCATATCTGAATATGATATGCCGTGGTAGAAGAGACCATCCACTGCCTTTCTTAGTCTGCAAAATTTGAAGAATACTTATGGTTTCACTGCAATAAATAGTTAAAAAATGGCATTTTTAGGGTTTTAGGGGGGTACAATTTTTTAAGGGGGGGGGGGGGGGGGGGGGGGGGGGGTATAACTTATAAAATTTCAGCATTCTATCTTCAAGGATGTAAAAGATTTGTAAAAATGTTGTTTGACGCACGGACGGACGGACAGAGTGAAACTAATAAGCACTATTTTCAAAATTTTTTTGGAAAAGTACTAAAAAGAAAATTTTCAAGTTTATTTTCAATTTTTTTATAAAAATTTAATTTTTTTTGGTGCAACCTTGATGTGAAAATATTAAAAGAGTACTTGTATTACATGCTTGTAATCATTAACTTAAAAAATAAAAATATATTTGTAATTTAAAAGAGAAAAAATAGTTATTTATCAAAAAAAGAAAAAAATTTAAAGCAAAGAGAATAATTTATGCTGACTTTGATATTTTTGTGGTTTTGAATGTGAAGACATAGACTGGAACGTAGATTATTACAAAATGGAGTAAATCGTTGTATCAAATGCATGTTAACATGCTAACACATACATATATTGTTATATACCTACTGGTATAGCAACATATTCAAGTAAAAATAATAACTATTACTAAACTAACTATTTCCTTCATATCCATTATAGTTCATAATGAAAAAAAAATAAATTTAAAACTAAAAAAATTCAATTTTCTACTATTCACCTATTTTTTTAAGTTTTTTATTAAAAAACACAAGTTACCTTGATAAACAGACTAGATCTATACTTTATACTATCATAGAAATAAATTACTTTTTTAATATCGAATAGAAAATAAGTCTGAAGAAAATGAAATAAAATTCCTTTGAAAAGGAAAAAGAAAAAAATTTAAAAAAAAATCCTCAACCAAAAAAAAAGACAATCTTTAAATTTAGTACACCTTTGTAATATAAAAGGATATTAAAGTGGCTTACCTGTCAACAGAAAACAAATTTTTTTTTACGTCTATTACAAGAATAGAAGAGCATTACATAAATAACATAGAAAGAGAAATAAGAGAAAAAAAATTCAAGAGAAATACACAACGAAAAATTGTTCAATTCTTCTCATATACAAAAAACAAAAAAAAAATTTTAATCTAAATTTCGACGTTCACATACCAATAAAAAAAAACACAAACCATTCACAAACTCACAATCCTTTTAAATATTTGGACTTCAAAAATAGAACTGAGCAGAAGAAAAATAAGGCGACTATTAGAATGTTTTAGAAATTTTCTAAATTTTAGAATTTCATTGGAAGAACTTAAAAGCACAACAATAATAGCAAACGAAATGAACGTTCTAGAATAAAAAAACAACCTGAAAAGGCGTACACAAGAGAAAATTTGAATAGAATAACATCTTCTTCTCTCATTGATTTTTTTTTTCCTACTCTTGTCTTTATTTTCAATTTTGAGTTGATAAACAACTGAAATTGGATTTTATCTTTTTATTTCTTTTTCCTTACTCAATATATAGGACGGATTTGAGATCCTGCGAGATCGAATTCAGTTATTGAATTTTACTTTTTTTTTCCCCCTAAAATTATCTTGATTGATTAAATTCTTAACGAATACACAATATGTATATGGATCTTAATCACATAATGGTAAAACAAAATGGACAAATATGACCCAAAAAAAAAATTCATTAGAATCACAATTAAAGTGCATTAGTGAATTAAAAGTACAAATCCTTTTATTATCTACTATTGTATATGCAAACAGGAATAAGAAGAATCGCAATGAATCGCAAGAAGAATCGCAGAAATTGAAATTTTCATCTGAGAATTTTAATAACTATTTTGAATACACAAAAAACAAATGATATGCAGAGAAGTGCATGGTCTTAAACAATAAATAAAATTTTGCATTAAGAATTTTTTTTTTTAGTAAACATGTGCGAATACAATTTGCTTACATGAGGATTTCCAGTATAACACGTAATTCTAGCACATCATATATTAAACTTGTTTTCTTAATTAATGAAATTTATGCAAGTTTCATTTGCACATTTCATTGAGAGTTCGATTGCTTTAGAATTAAATCAACTCCCCTTTAAAATTATTTTCGATAAATTACCAATATTATAAAATTAACAATGTTATTTTTCTATTATAAAATAATTTAAAGATCATAACAAAATGAAATTTTCACTACTCCTATATTTAAAGTTAACAACTTCATGAAAAACAAGACAACAAGAAATTCAATAATAATGTTAACAAAGAAACTTTAAGCACTGATATCCTTTATGTTTTTTTTTCTCTTATTTACACCTACATAAATTTTTGTGTCAGATATACTCCGCGCCAACATATTTATTGTACACACACAACTTTTAAAAATTATTTATTTAATCGCGTATATATTTTCGTATGACTTTAATATCAAAATATATCACAGTAATTTTTCTCTTATATTGTAACATACACACACATACATATGCATATTATATGATCCTAAATACATTCACCATCTGTGAAACAAATCAAGTTGTCCTGAAATTTTTATTTATTTAGGAAAACAAAAAAAAAAAACAATAATAAAATAACTAAAATAGGGAAATTTATATACAAGAATAGTAAAAACAAAATGAAGAAAAAAATATTAAAAGAGTAAAGAGAATTTTGTTTTTTTTTAACAAGTTAAATTTTATACACGCATACAATTTTAAAGGGGAAAAAAAAATTTAAAGGAATTTAATATGAACGTGACATGATGCATAATATTTACTCATATATAAAGTCGAAGGATGCGAATGGGAAGAGCAACGAGAGCAACAAATTATGTACATTT